ACTTTTCTCCATCTGAGCCTTGGATATTTGCACAGATTAGTTATCATTAATCTATTTTTTCACAATCCACAACTTTTATGAGCTTGGCAATGGCTTAATAATATGAATTTTTTTCATTTTCGTTGTTTGTAGCCAGAAATAAATTTCCTATTAGATCTTCTTTTGGATTCTTGACATTACTTCTCCTAAAATTTGAGAAACCTAAATGCATCCTAGCACTGGAGAGATGACTCAGTGTTGAGAGCCTTGAATGATCTTCCCAGAGGGCCTGGGTTCAGTTCCCAGCACCCACACTGTAGCTCACAAACACTTGTTATTCCAGTTCCAGAAGATATAATGATATAATCCCCTCTTCTGCCCTTCTTGGCTCTGCTAGAACATGGATCACAGACAAGTGGGCACAGACAATAAGTTAATAAATAAGGAAATGCTTAAAATTAAGTACTCAAAAAATAAAACAAAGTTAGCTGAAAATAAGTATTCTCAAACACTAAGTCCCAAATGTATAAGTGTGTGCTACTTATAGAAGAGTTAGATTTTAATCATTCTTGTTATAATACTGTAAAATTATTTAATTCATTTTAATACTTTGATGCCTAGGTGTGTGTGTGTGTGTGTGTGTGTGTGTAGTATTGGAATGAATCAATTTAAAGTTATGTATTGTCAATGGATTCGGTATTTCAAATATGATATTATGTCCAATTAATTTTTATTTTTAATTTATGTGCATAAGTGTTTTGTTTGCATGTATGACTATATCACATGCATATCTGATGCTCATGGAGCCTAAGACAGAGTGTCAACCCCCCAGAAACTCTAGTAACAGATGCTCGTGAGCCTCTATGTGAATGCTAAGATCCAACTCAGGTCCTCTGCAAGAGCAGCAAGTGCTCTTAACCACTGAGCCATCTTTCCAGCATTCCAATATTTGCTTAAAACCTTTTTTTGTGTGTGTGTTTTCACTAAGCCAGTGAGGTATGTGGTCCTCAGACTGAGGACATGTTCTCTGTGTTATTACAGACTGGGAACATGTACTCCATGTTCTGCCCGTTGTTGGACTTGTCGTTTATCTGAGCTACTGTATGCTAAGCAAGAGCCTGCCGACGTCCTTTCTTTATTCTAGACACGTCATACAGAGACACCATAAGTCTTTCTCCCTTTGTCAATCAATTTACACCTAGCAGAACTACTCTCGGCTGCTTACAATCACACTCATAATTGGGTCAGAAGGAACAGATACTTGGAGTCTGAAATATCCACCGCAGTCTTCACACCTGCTCTGCAAAACAAGCTCTGATGAGTCGTTCCCACTGAATAAAGAGCGACTAAGAATTGCAGAGGAGACCCGAGGCCACTTTCATCTGCCACACTCCCTGTCCTTTGAAAAGGTGGCCTGCCTCACAAACATGGTGCTTGATGTGCGGTTTTTGAATTCTGCTATAATCAAGTTTCAAGGTGTTAAGGTGAAGGTGACCCCCATCAACAGGAACAATGAGGGTGGTGTTGAAGGGGCTCCAGAGTGGGAGAAGTAGTGCTTGCCAATCTTCCTGCATAACAATCAGACTGCACATGTGTGAATGGTGTTCAGCTTACCCACAGAACTCGCTGGATCCACAGGCAGCAATGGGTTCACACACACCACCCCTATATCCTCGACCCCAGCCCTCAACCCCACCCACATATATATATATGTATTCATGTATTATACATAGTATTCATATATGTGTATATATAATATGTGTAATATGTTATATATAATACATATACAAATATATGTATATTATATGTACTTATATGTATATACATGTGTATAAGTATATATGTATATGAGACCTTTGAACTTGTGAAGTATGTGCACATTCCCAAATCTTCTCTCTCCTTTTTTCAGTGAAGATTGTGATGCATCAACTTTTTTTGTGCAATAGACAACAAAAGTATCTATATCAAAGTGCATTTGAAAAACCATTTTTTGTTTTGTTCTGTTTTGTTTTTGAGACAAGATATCTCTCAGCCCTGGCTATGTTGGAACTTACTCTGTAGACCAGGCTGACCTCGAACTCACAGAGATCCCCTTGCCTCTGCCCCCTGATTGCTGGGATTGAAAACTATTTCCACAGTGTTACCTATGCAAGCGTTGAACAGACTGCATTCAGCTCCGGAGTGCATCTGTTGGTTGTCTGCTTAGGCCAGCGATGCCGGTTGTAGTTCTCCTGAGTAGGTCAGAAATATTAATATATTCACATTTATAACACGTGTCTTTGGGGAAACAATTCATCTGGACATAGTCGATGAGTAAATAAATATGTGGTTTCTTGTAAGCAGTACTATCTATTAGGAGCTAATTAAACAATAATTATCTTAGCAGTAAACCTCATACTCCAACTTGTGTCTCTGTGCCCAGCTGCTTTCGTATGTTCTGAGTCCTCCAGGCTCAGGAGCACCGAGTGGGAACGAAAGACAAAATAGTGTTGATTTGATGGCCAGAGTATATGCACCACATTTTCTTTCTTCACTGAAGACCCTCATCATCCTGATCATCATCATGTGTATGCATGCACACATCAAGCACACATGTGGAGGTCAGAGGATACCTTCCTGAAGTCTGTTCTCTACTTCTGCCTCCATTTGTGCCCCAGGGTTATGACTTGGCTCCTTAAGCTTATGGGACAAGTGCTTTTCCTTGGTAATCCTTCTCACCAGCCAACCCCTCATTTTTTTTTACCCACTCATTGGGTAGTGCACACCTGGACTGCTTCTGTATCTTGGAAGCTGTGAATACCATTGCAGTAGGGGGGAGTGGAAGAGATTCCTGACATGTTGACTCCTTCTCCTTACGTTATCTTCTGTGTCCAGTGATGCCACTGCTGGATTCCCTGGTGATTCTAGACTTTTATTTTTTTTCGTGGTTTTTACTACAGTGCCTTCATTCATTCACATCCATACTCATAGGAGATAAAGTGTTCATTTTTTCCAGGTGGTGGTGGTGACACGCACCTTTAATTCCAGCACTTGGGAGACAGAGGCAGGAGGATCTCTGAATTCAAGGCCAGCCTGGTCTACATAGTGAGTTCCAAGACATCCAGGGTTACACAAAGAAACCCTGTCTCAACAAACAAATGAACAAACAAGCACACAAAAGAGTGTTCATTCCTTTGCCTCCTCCCTATAGGGATTGTTCTTCTCTTCTCAAAGGAGTCCATTGACCTCAATAAGGTGATATCACATTATAGTTTTGATTTACAGTTCTGCAATCACTGAGGTTATATATTTTCTCTAATACTTCTTGGCTCTAAAAACATAAGAGGAGTCAACTCATGATACCCTTTCTGGGAAGAATGGCAAAATGGACAACTGACTTACTGACCTATTTTATCTAAACTTCTAAACATTTTATGAAACTGCTTAATTAAATGTACACTACAGTATTTGTGAGTAGTGACTTCATTTCCATGAAGGTAATACTAACCACCTATAAACTCAAACTTGCTCTCTAAATATTTCTGGATGGCATAATTAATGCATTATTTAAATCATGTAATAATACATAGACATGCCTATAAAATTTCTAAGAATCGCTCTTCCTACACACACAGACACACAGACACACACACACAAGTATGAAACAAACACTCAGAAAATAACTTATTCCTTTGGAAATTGGTTTTTATTTGAAAATATTTTATAAAATAGTACGTTTCTTGGACAACTTGGCAATTTCACAGAAACCACTAACTTTCTGGTAGGATGCTGAGTTTCGAGCAGAAATACGAACATATTTGTCTTTCATCCTTACAGCTGAGTGACGGATCAATTCCGTCCCAAATTGTGTCCTTTGACTAGGGATCTCATCACACTGAGAGTCTCCTATGGAGGTAGACGAGGTGAGGATCTTTGAAGGTGACAAGAAAGTTCCAGAACAAACAGAATCAGGAGCCCAACTTTGAACCACAAATCATTATAGGACTTAGCTTAGCAACGCAAATGGAGAAAAGGCTGCTGTGAATGCCTGGTAAACAGACCCTAGGGCTCAGCGTCACGATTTCTCAAGCTGATGGCTCAAGAGAAATTCTTTTACTTATCCTTTAGCACAAATCTTTTTGGTGAAACATGGATTGGGTACCAACTAGTGCTGTGCATCAGGAGTGGTACGACTGCTGAGGTCGGGAAACAAATATGCCTTTGATACTGTATAGTGGTATATAACAGACATGGCACCGATGCTAAGGTCTGAGGATAAACGTGCATTCAATACAGGTTACTGGTGTGCAGCAGGTGTGGTTGGTGCTGATGCTGAGGATCAACATGCATTAGATACTGGTTAGTGATGCGTGTCAGGTGTGGTGCTGATGCTGAGGTCTAAGAATAAACATGCATTGAACACTGTTTAGTGGTGTGTATTGGGTGTGGTGCTGATGCTGAGGTCTGAGGACGAACATGCATGCAATACTATTGAGTGGTATGTATCAGTTATGGTGCTGATGCTGAAGCCTGGGAGTGCACACGGATTGGATATTAATGATATGTATGGGACAGGGTACTGCTGCCAGGGTCTAAAGGTAAACATAGGTTGGATATCAATTAATGTTTCATATAAGGCAGGTTAGTAATAATGAGGTCTGAGGTAATATCCACAAAGGCATGCATCCGTGCCCCAGCTGTGACAGTATTTCTGCAACTGTTGGCTCTTCCTATGTACTGTAAAATTTTATTATTACCAAAATAATCTAGGTCTTTTCTATAAGACAGTATGTTAATACAACTATAGCTTCATCTTTTAACCAAAAGCATTTATTTGCACTATTCAAACACCATTATAAAAATGTGTCAGGGCAGATATTCTAAACCCCAAACACATTCTCTGTTTCGCTCTTAAGCATGCTGAATTAATTTTCTAGTGCAGAGATTTACTGATTTTAATAGTTCAAATGCAATGCTTATTTTATGAAATAAATGCATCTCCATAGAACATTTTCTTTAACCTCTTTTTCTCCTTCCCACAGTCTTACCTAGCCACACGTGTGGAAACCCTGGGGAAATATTGAAAGGAGTCCTCCACGGAACAAGGTTCAACATCGGCGACAAGATCAGATACAGCTGTCTCTCTGGCTACATTTTGGAAGGTCATGCCATTCTGACTTGCATTGTCAGCCCTGGGAATGGTGCTTCCTGGGACTTCCCAGCTCCTTTCTGCAGAGGTAGGTTTGTCTCCTGTGCACGTGAGAAGGGAAGCCTGAACCTAGCTAGCGAGTGACTTTGTAGCTCACATTGGTAACTTTACACCCACTTAAAAGAGGGCAGTATTGGAAAGGGTGGCCCTTCATCAACCCTGCTTTCCAAGGAAGTAAGACACAGCATGGAGGAAACCTTGCTAGGAACCTAGCTGTATCAACAAGTTAGACCCGCTGTTGGACCTCAAACACCCATTAGGTCTCTTATCCCCATAACAGGATTTACACATTTCTGTTCATAGAGTCCTTTTTGCCACAGCATCCCGATAGGCTATAAATGTATATTCTCCTTATTCTTCTATCTTTTCATTGTTTTTCCCTCGGTAGCCTCACATTCCTAGTGCTTCCACTGCCTCAGCTTCCTGGGGGCTATAATTTCAGGTGTGAACCACTATTCCTTGCTATTTAAAAACTAGATTTCATGTTGCCTTGTTTAACCCTTCTACATGAAAACAAATTAAAGATAATTAGACAATTCCATCTCACCCTCTAAAAACTCTTCCAACACTCCAGCACTTGGAATGAGGTAACCATGGTGGAATGGATTATGTCCCTGAGTCCATTCAGGGTGGATGCCTTTTCCCAGTTTCTGGAATGTTCAGCCTCTGTGGTAGGATTATTTTACTACTATTGTTGTTGAGGATGTGTGTATCAAATCTTGGGTTCTGGGTTCTTAAGAGAGATTCACCTTGCTGGTGTAGAAATAAAAGGCCAGGCAAATACTTACTGCATTTTTAATGAGATGTCAGAAAAGCAACTAAACAGTCCCTATGGTGTGAATCTCATACCCACCCGCCAGTGGAGCTGTTACCACTCATGTATCAAATAATACAAGAGAAGATTGCTGGATATGGTGACTTCCTGGTGATCTTGGCACTTGGAAGACTGAGACAGGAGTATCAGGAGTTCATAGTCATCATCTACATAGGGAGTTTGACATCAGATTGGGCTATAAGAGACTACTGTTTCAAAGATAAATAAGAAAATAACAAAACAAAAGTTTCATTAACCCAATTTGACTTTAAATATGTGCTAGTCTGCCAAGCACTGTATCAACACACATATATTTTAATGTGTCTTCTTGCCTGGATCTTCTGCTGTCTGGTGTGAGCTCTCTGTGATGCTAATGATTTTGTGACGATAGATCCCTAGCTCTGTAACTAGGAATGGTCAGATACTATGTCAGAGGACTTCATCCTCACTGAATCTCCAACACAAGGGGTGACATTAGATCCATGTCACAGGGTGGAATCAGAAGGGGCCAGGTAGGAAAGGATCTAGGCTCAGGTAAAAGTTCAGAAACACTAACCGGGGCTTAGCACGTTTAAAATATTATTTTCTTATTCCTGGAAAAACTCTGTTTTCTCTCCCATGTCTCTATCAATCTTCCCCAATTGCTCATTTTCTCTGAGTGTTCCTAGAGATAATCATACCCTGCTTGATGCTCTTGCTGCAAGTCCTTAGCTCTGTTTTTCTGTTGTCACAATGGAAGTGTCCTCATCGTCCAGAGCCCGGATTCCTTTCCCCCGGCTTTTCCACAATTCTTTTGAATAATTGACCCATTTGAAAGACAGTGATCAGCTCCTTTGAAAGACAGTACTGTTGGGATGTCCCCGAGTGCCCTTCTTTTTTCTCCTTCCTTCCAACTGTGGTTGCCTGTCATGGGATAACCTGGAGGTTACTCAGTTGCTCATTGAGTCATTTTCTGCACCCTGTAGACCTCACGCTTCATTATTTCCTGCAAACTGTTTTTTCTGCCTTCCATTTTGTCCCTACTGTATCATCTTATCTCAATGAATATAAAAACAAAGTTGAAGCGCCTGTTTTATTTATTTCGTGTTGTAAATTAATGACTAAAGACTACTCCTGCAACAGTCTGTAACCTCCAGGACATAATCTCAGCCTTGAGAATCAAGAGTTAGAATATCCTTGCTTTCTTTCTGCATGAAAACTTGTTTAACCCATTGGAAGTTTTCTCCTCTCCTTACACTTTTTTTCTCATATTCTCTTTATGCATCTTTTTTTCAATATAAGATAAAAGATAAAGGGCCCTTTTCTTAAGATAAAGGTCTTTACAGTTCTGCAACTGTATATTTTATACAGTCGAAGTCGGTATAACAACCTTTCAATAAATCTCTCTTGTTCTTTAATCAAGTTTTATTAGGTCCTAACTATGCCAAGGAAAACACATTCTTCAATGCCAGAGGTTAATGCAGTTATATTCATACTTTTCCTTTTCTAATTCATGACCTTGTAAGAATTCAAAGTTTCAAAGTTTATAAAATAAAATAATTTGAGAGACATGCCACTTCTTATTGACTGAGATAACTCAATAATAAAGAAAAAGTCAATGGTCTAATGCTGATGAATGTGTGGCTGTAGCATCTCCAGAAGCCGCACACACACACACACACACACACACACACACACACACACACACACATTTCAGCAGTGTGGGTGAGCCGACTTTTAAAAATGAAATGAGTATCTTTTCTGATTCCCAAAAGTTCTGGTTATTTAGTTCCAGCAATTGTTGAAGACTCCTTCCTGGCAGTCTCACTACCAGTAACACCACAGTATTGGGTCACATGACCTCTGGCCAGCGTGATAAAATCTTATTTTCCCTTTCCAGCACAAGTGTGGAGCTGACACAGTAGCACCTAAGTATGTGAGCCATATACAGTTATGGGATGCTCATCACAATAACATCTGTAGTCATAACTTTGTGGGGTCGGCACGTGATAAAGTGGGGATCACAGCAGCCTGGAAGGAGCAGCTCTTCAGAACATGAGCACAGGGTTCTGCCCTAGGAGCCATTTTCCAACTTCATCACATTTCTCAAGTTTTAACCCATCTCCTCTCTTCCATAGTTTGAATTTGATGACTATCCCTCAAAAAATAAAAACAAATGCACCTTTTAAGATGCTATTGGAAGCTAGGTGGTGGTGGAGCACATCTTTAATACCAGCTCTTGGGAGGCATAGTTAGGCAGATGGATCTTCATGAGTTCAAGGCCAGCCTGGTCTATGAAATGAGTTTCAGGACAGGCTCCAAAGCTACAGAAAAAAAACCTGTCTCAAAAACAAAACAAAAAAAGATGCTATTGAAAAAACACTTATATAGATCTACAAATAATTGATAGATAGATAATAGATAGGTAAGTAGGTATATATATGGTAGATAGATGATAGATGTATAGATAGATGATAGATAATAGTTAGATGAATAGATAATAGATCAATGATAGATAGATGATTGTTAGAAAAATAAATGATAGATGATAGATAGATAGATAGATAGATAGATAGATAGATAGATAATACATAGACTGATGAACTTTCTCTTAATAGTCTCCAAAATTAGGCAGAGATATTTGCTATGTCATGTCCCTGGTGAGCATGGCTGATGTGGCTTATCAAAGGACTGACAACAGCTGGTATCAGGCTGTGTTAGAGACACAGAGATCACAAGTCTTTGGCAGTGGACTCAGAGGAACTGCAGTGATTCACATCAACATTGCTCAGGATGCAGGCAGCTGCCTCGGTGTGTGGAGTGGCCTGTCCACTGACCATTCACTGCCTTTACACGGAGGAGAGCCCCAACACTGGACCGAGTTCTTTTGCCAAAGAAACAGATGAAATTCATTTGAATAACAGATTCTATTATTCTAAAACATCCAAGAATTTATCACTGGGTGGCACAGTCAGTATTAATGACTAATGGGATATTTTGTGTTCTTCATTTTAATTTCAAAACCTAGTATATATTTTACAGTGAACACATATCTCTATACAAGATATGATAACTACATTTCAAATTCTCAGGGATACCTACGCCAGTGACTACTACTTTGAAAAGCTCAGTGTCAGTATCTTGATTAACTTAAGGGCTTTTGTTTCTCTTTCTTTCTTTTCTTTTCTTCCTTTTTTTTTTTTTTTTTGACACATGATCTTACTCCATAGCACAGGCTGGTCTTTAACTAGTAGTGATCCATCCCTATCTCAGTCTCCTGGGATTACAAGTGTGAGCCACCATGTTGAACCTTCTGCATGTGTCCTTTTTGTATGTAAAGTTATGATGCTTTGAATTAATGGTGCACAGTTGGTTCCATATAGAGATGTAACTTAATTATAAAATCTGATAAGAAGCCAGTTGGTTGTGGTGCACACCTTTAGTCCCAGCACTCCAGAGGTAGAGGCAGGCAAATCTCTGTGAGTTCAAGATCAGCCTGGTCTACAGAGCTAATTCCAGGACAGGCACAGCTGTTACACAGAGAAACCCTGTCTCAGAAAGAAAAAAAGAAAGAAAGAAAGAAAGAAAGAAAGAAAGAAAGAAAGAAAGAAAGAAAGAAAGAAAGAGGGAGGGAGGAAGAAAAGAAAAGAAAAGAAAAGAAAAGAAAAGAAAAGAAAAGAAAAGAAAAACTGATAGGAAGATAAAGAAGAGGTCGCATGATGGGGGTTCTTCCTTATCTGCTGAGAGACCACTGAAGCCTATTTAAGGGGAAGAGGCCCAGAGAGCAGTGTCTACTTTGAAACTAGTTTTGCCAAAAGCTAGACATAAGACAATGTGAAAGTCTTAGACATTTTCCTGGGAATACCTCCATATTTCCAATCTTATTCCTGGGAATACTTCCATATTTAATTCTTTAGGACTCGGTATTCTTACCAGTATTATTGAAGACTCCTCCATGTTTCCACACACTGACATCTGCTGGGATTATTTTTATCCTTTCATTCTGACAGTCATGTTAACTACGATTAGATGGAATCTTAGTATAGTTTCTAGAAGGTGTTGCGTTGGATTTATCTGTTTCGGTTTTCTGACTTCGTCTTTTAGTTAACTTTAGGCTCAATGTCAGAGGGCACAATACTCCATCACTGGGAGGGAAGGACTTGGTCCATGATGGCACAGCCATGCAGCGTTCCTTTCCCACATCTTGACCAGTTGGATCCCAGATGTGCATATGC